TATGATATCTCAGGAGTGACCCAATCGAACGAGACCCGGAACGACACGAGACTCAGAGTAAAAATAACAGTGTTTATTTATTTACAGTGATAAACTGGCTGCACAGGCATCAGGACTGGAACTCCTGGAAACGGAGGACAAGTTCAGCTGGGGCAGGTAAGTTGTTTGGTATAAACTTGCAAGTAGCTTTCTTATCTTACAGTTGGTGGTTCTTGTAGGAGTTGATCCAAGAGATACCCAGAGTTTCCAGAGGAGATGGTGAGATGGAGGCACTGTGCAGCAACTTCAGAACAGGACGAATACTTCCAGAGACTGAGTGGATAGGCACGAGAGATCAGAGCTTGGGCAAGGCACGAGAGATCTGAGAGCTGGAACCCGTGGAAACAGGACTGGACTCAGGAGGCGACGAAGAACTGCAGAAACAAGATCACAGGGTAAGACTTGTATTCCATGAAACATTAAATGGCTAGAAACATTAAATACCGGGGGAACTCAATGCTCCAGCGTCGAGTAGACTTGACTGCAGGCTTATATAGGAGCAGGAGCTCATCAGGGAGATGACCGTCAGCTGGGGGTGGTTAGCGGCCATCTTGGAAGCTGCAGTAAGTGCTACTCTCACAGTACCCCCCCTCAAGAATCGCCTCCAGGCGATCCGAAACGCTTCTCAGGGTGCGCTTGGAAGAAGGTAGTGATGAGGCTGGGGTCCAAGATGAATGAACGTGGGATCCAAGATTGCTCCTCAGGACCGTAACCCTCCCAGTCCACCAGGTACTGGAAACCTCTCCCCCGGCGCCGGACATCCAAGATCTTCTGGACGGAAAAAGCTGGATGATTGTCGATCAACCGGGGGGGAGGAGGGAGGTTGGTTGGAGGGCTCAACGGGCTCTCAGATACCGGTTTAACCTGAGAAACATGAAAGGTAGGGTGTACCTTCATGGAGGCAGGAAGTAGGAGACGGACTGCTGCTGGGTTGATGATCCTCTCGATAGGAAAAGGACCGATGAATCGAGGAGCCATCTTCTTGGAGAGGTCCTTGAGGTGGATGTCCCTGGTGGACAACCACACCCTTTGACCAACCTGGTAAGGCGGCGCCGTTGAGCGGTGGCGGTCAGCGTACTTCTTATTTTGGGCATCTGTCCGAAGAAGTGCTGACCTGGTCTGTCGCCAGACTCGACGACACCGTCTGAAATGGTGTAGGACCGAAGGTACCATGCAATCCGTTTCCTGACTGGGAAACAGAGGAGGCATGTACCCCAGCGACGCTTCAAAGGGAGACATACCAGTTGCAGAGGTCTTGTGTGAATTGTGCGCATACTCAACCCAGACCAGGTGACGGGACCAGGCCGAAGGATT